ATCAAACTTTTGATTTTGATCAATTGACGATCATTCGAGCAAAGACCGTCCATCGGTTCTTCGTACGTACATTTGTTCAAAGATTTAAGAGGTAACTACTATAATTTAAAAATCTATTATTGCATTGTATGTTTTTGAAAAGTCAGACGTTACAAATTTCCTTTTAAAAATTGATTCATATTCACGTGGTCAACGGTTGGTCCGCCCGTGCTGAACTTTGGTGCTGGATCCGCCACTGTGTTCTAAGATCTCTTCTTGTGTCCAGTCCCGATTGATCAAATATGATGTGAACTCTGATAAATCTCCATCTTGCAAAAAGGTTGGAAGGAGATGCTTCAAAGGATCAAGTGATGATAAGCTTCCACCCTGCAAGCACGCTATCAAAGCATTAAACCCCCGAAGGCAATAAAATTGCAAAATGCGTTCAAATATCGCTAGCATGCGGAAAGTATTCTCTCTCATTTGGAGTTGTTCGTGTCATTGATATTATTTAAGAATACTGTCGAGATAGAGGATTGAGCCCAGAACCCTCGTTATGCTCCCCGAGTTTATGCAAATGGGGGAGGGCTGGATGAGAAAAACAGTGAGGTGAGATGGGGAAGAACGGTATTACGGGATTTCGGCAAAGGCAGTCTTTACGTAATTCTAAAAAAGAAAGCCTGATCAATTTTTCTCTTCCTTCCCAAACAACAGCCTTTCTTAATGCTAAGAACATTCGAGTTTAGTTTCATGCATATAAGTCGCTACTTTGTAAATATTGAAGTATTCCCAGATCTGATCCGACTACCTACCAACAAAGTGACTAGGACATGACAATAACTGTGATGGAACGTAAAAATGTATCCACTAACTAACATGAAATAAGGCTCTAGCCATATATCTGAACTTGTATGTGTAAATAACTGACCTGTGAACAAGCAAACCCGTGCTTGATCTCAGACTCGTACCAACTCTGAGAATCTACGCAAAACTACTTTACATAAATGAGGCCTTCATCGTCAGGTCATCAACTTCCCACTCATCATTGCTTCGATCAGATGAATCCAGCAGATTCTCAGTTTGACCTTCTGGAGCTTTCTTATTTTCATCCTTTATTCTATCTAAAATAGCTGAGTACCCGAAATGGTATGTTAATCTATAGTTAATATGAGAAAACAGGGCGTGCATATGGTGAAGGGAAAAAAATAAAAATAAGAGTTCCCCTAGATTCTGATTTACACAAGAAGCTATTAAACAAAAATTTCACAAGGTGTTGGATTTTTCAAAGTATAGTCACAAAAATTCATTTGCAAACCATATGGGTTAATCAAGCAAAGTGTGATGTGAATCAGATTGCAAAATCTTTGGTTCTTGGAGAGAAGGATGACGAGTAAGAACTTGCATTAAGTAGGCAAAGTTGAGATTGAGTCCATCAGTATTTTCCGAATCCAAATTAAGGGACAATCTCAAAGCACCTGGAAACTGTCAAAGATCTTAAATAATTGTAATCTGCCTAAGTTAGCGATTGTCAATACAACATCATAAATTGGTCGAACTTCATTTTTGAACCGCACAGGTTGATCAACAAAATCTATAATCTAAAATGTAATAAAACTAGAATCCGACTTGATACCGAACTTTCCTTTATTCAATACTCCGACGGCACAAAAGTATTTCATATTTTGCACATAACCTAGTACCAGCTTCAGAGAACTTTCAGAATTATGCCAGAGAAGTGTTAAAATTATTTCCATTTCCAGAACACTTGATGAAAATGCAGAATGCTTTTGCATCCAGTCTTATCTATGGGCATCAACATGCTGTCATTTTCAACTTCTATTTTCTCCTACTAGTTTTCAATTATCAAATGTGTTGTGACACCATCCACCTAACTAGATGACATTTGACTGGACAATTTAGCCATGACTTGGGCCAATTGACTAGACCCTGCCAGCTCCATTGATAAGTTCCCAATTTTTGACTTTCAAATAGGGTCCTTTCCCTCTTTTTAATTTTCAACACTGGCTTTATTTATTTCTTTCTTTCTTTCCTAAATATCATTTTTTAGATATTACTCCAGTTACTAGATTTTTAAAAATTATGGTCACTGATAAGTGTATTTTTGCACATTTATTTAATACCTAAACAAGCTAAT